ATTGCTTCCATTTTTGTCCACAAATATCTTACAAATATAGTTGTTCTTCAATTGGAACAAATATTAGAACCTACAACTTAATGGTCATGCATTATGGTTAATGCAGTTGGCAAGTAGTTTTATTTTCAAAGATTTCCAATGTTCAATTTATGATCAGGTAGGTGTATATATCATATATCAACAACAATTAAGTAAACTGTAACGAATTTTATTTTTAATATATCTAAATTTTAAAATAGTTAGTGATGGTACCGAGTTTAGCACCCATCATTAAGACCCGACCCAAATTTGAATCTACTCGGATCTCCACTTGGTGCTGGATTTTGATGGTTTATCCGACCTAACAAAAAGACTCGGCTCAAGCCATGGCGGCCGGCCGACCTAGTAACCCAACAAAAAAGAAAAAGATGAACATGAAGAATGAAAAATCACTTAAAATTAGGAAATTTACTACTATTTTTCTAGGGTTGATTTGACCAACTTAAACTTGTATAAATATGCAATGTATTTCTCTAGAAAAGGGATCCAACTCTAAATCAATATACAAATTTCTTACAAGCATTTTACATTGTTGCGTTTATTATTGAATCTTTTATTTTGAAAAGCTAGTTCCTTAATCATCTAGTGACGATCTGAATAGGTTATGCGATTCAGATTCACCTGTTAGTAATGTTATTTGCCAAATTTCCACTCTTAAATGTGGTTGGCCTATCTAAAAAAAATTTAGCCACTTGTAATTTTTTGTTTCAACTTGTAAGTTTCATATATATAGTATCATGTACCCGAATCAATTAGAGAAAAAAATAAATAAATCATAGTTATGTAGAAATAGTCACAATCTCTAGTCAATCACTTTTGCCCGAAGAAATTTGACGAAACGGGTTACAAAAAATGGCCACCACAGCATCATCATGTCCCAAGACCGTATATTAGAAATTTGGTGCGTTTCATACATACTGGAATGCCGTCGAGTGCATTAATTAGGCTTATTTGATTACACATATATATATATTAAAAACCAAATTAATGCTTACCATATTTTTCAAATATTCTCTCCATTTCTAAAAAATTGATCTAAAACAAAGGAACTTTACCATTTTAATTAACACATGATTCATACATATATACCTGCATATATAACAGTGATTGTTATACTAATCTTCACATAAATTTTGTTACAACAAAGCAAACCTAGCATGTATTCTTGTCTTAGTGTGCTTTAGAAGAGATTGTGCTTTGCACTTTAATTCAAGTCTTGCTTGAGAGAAATGTGTTTATCACATGAGTTGTCTCGGCTGAGAAAGATTACGAACTCGCGGGTATTCAAATTGCCTATTTCAGAAGATTAAAGGTTTTCTAGAGGAAATCTAGATAGCTAAAAAGATAATTAACTCTTTTTTTGTTTTGTTTTTCCAAATCTGATGTAAGAGAAGAAATAATTAATGCTGAAGTGTCTTGCTCTTGTGTGATGCAACTCATTTTTATATATTCCATCTGTTCCATTATATAAGATATTCTACCTAAAAGCGCGCAGTTTAAGAA